GCAATAGAAAAAAATGAAGCTTTTTTATTAGTAGGTAGTAAAATCTTTTTAAAATGGAGTAAGTAGCAATCAAGAGAATCCAAATTAATTTTCTAAAAATGAGAAGATATTTTAGATGCATACCCCATAGTGGGATTGCTGGATAATACGGTAGCTCTATTTTTAATTTTTTCAGGAACCTCATACTGTTTTCCATAATGGCTGTACCAATTTATAATCCCCCTGACAGTGTACAAGCATTCCCTTTCCTACACCTCTTGGCCAACTCTTATTATTTAACTTGTTTCTAATAGCCATCCTAACAGGAGTGAGGTGATATCTTATTGATTGTGAATATTTTGGTGATGATTAGTGATGTTGAGCACTTTTTCATATATCTATTTGCCATTTGTATGTCTTTGGAAAAATGTCTATTCAGGTCCTTTGCCCATTTTTAAATAGGGTTATTTATTTGCTATTTTATGGGTTAATGCTACGGGTTCCTTACATATTTTGGATATTAGTCCCTTATCAATACGTAGTTTGTAAACATTTTCTACTAGCTGGTGATTGCCTTCTATATTAGTTTGCTAGGGCTAGCATAACAAAATACCACAGACTGGGTGGCTTAAACAACAGAAATTGATTTTCTCATTGTCTGGAGGCTAGAAGTCCAAGACCAAAATGTCAACAAGTTTGGATTCTCCTGAGGCCACTCTCCTGTGTGTGCAGGCGGCTACCTGCTCAGGATGCCCTCATGTGCTCTTTTCTCTGTGTGCGTGTATCCCTGGTATTTCTTCTTAGAAGGACACCAGCCAGATTGGATTAGGGCCCCACTCTAAGAGCTTCATTTTAACTTAATTGCCTCTTTAAAGACCTTATCTCTAAATGCTATTATATGTTGAGGGACTAGGGCTTGGGACTTCAACACAGGATTTTAAGGATTTTACATCCAGCCCATCCTACTTTCCTTCCATGGCCACGCGATTGGTATGACCTGTGCCTGCAGCAATCATGTCACCTTTTTTCTCCCAAATCCTCATCACTTCTAACCCAAACCATTTGTTGGGATTTATCTCTCAATGGCTCAGGGGTTTCTTCCTTGTATAGCTTGGATCATCCCATGTCTGAGGTGATCACTTTAGAGCTGTCATCTCATTCTCATGATTATTATCTCCTCTCTAGCTCAAATATATATTAAATCATCTAAAATACTTTCTACTTCCTACTTATCAGATCCAATCAGCATAATGTTGTCAATATAGTGAACCAGTGTGATGTCTTATGGAATGTCAAAACAGCATCTCTGTGGACTATATTAAGGAGAACTGATGTACCCCTAAGGCAACACTGTGAAGGTGTATGTTGGCCCTGACAGGTAAAAGCCAATTGCTTCTGGTGATTTTACAAATAGGTATGGGGAAAATGCGCATTTGCAACACCAATAGCTATATACCAAGTGCCAGGTGCTGCATTGATTTGTTCCAGTAAAAATACTACATTTGAGACAGCAGCTACAATTAGATTGGAATCATCTCCTTATTAAGTTTATAATAGTCCACAGTCATTCTCCTAGATCCATTCTGCACTGGCCAAACTGGTTAGTTAAACAGGACTATGATAAATATCATCACCTACTTAAAAGCCTTTTATGGTGGCATTAATCCCTGCACTTCCTCCCAGCCATACGGTGTTGTTTTTGGTTTATTATCTTGGAAAGGAGTGGAAGTTCCAGGAGCTTCCACTTAGCTCTTCCTCGTCCCTCATTCCATGGGTAAGCAAACCAAGGTGGGGATTCTATCAGCTGCTAAGTATGTCTATTCCAGTTACACATTCAACAACTGGGAAAGTTATCACATAGTTGGTGTGTGGACTAATATTGGTGGTTTTTTTTTTTTGTCCCTAGGAATTGGCACCGATTCAGAGCCAGCATCTAGTAAACCTCAAAATATCTGAGTGCTTCTTTTTCACCAATGCAGAGTCACTCTAGTAAATGGCCACACATCTATTTGGGGAAAGCATGAAGGAATTTGCTTTGTGTACTGTGGCAATGGTACAAGATCCTTCCTAAAGGGGACACAGATTCTCCTTCAACCAAGGGACTCTGCATCTGTGAATTGATTTAGGTCTGAAAACTGAGAGCTGTGACTGTCCACTGCGTAACTCAAGTCAGATTTTGGCTATCCGATCTAGAGCTTTACCTGTTATAAATATCAAGCAATAATCTCTTTAGGCTGCCTATCCATTTTGTTTCTAGGGCATCTAGGTAAGCCAAGGCACTCTGATTCACTGCTGCCTTTTAAAGTAGACGTGCCCACCTTGTCTTTGGTGGTTATGTGCTACCTGGCCTTGCTATTCTGGGATCTTATTAACCCCATTAAAATCAGGGAATTTATCTACACAGATAGCCCTCTGCAGTCACAAGGTTTTATACAAGCAGAGGAAGGCTAGTCTCCTTAGACACTGAAGGGCATCCTACTTCCACTCATAAGACAAAGTTAGAGTAACTTGGGGGGTTTAAGATCGTCAGTTTCATCTGAGTCCAACTTATTGCAAGTTTTGAGAATCTATTATTTATCACTTAGCAACTTAACTTTTACACAAGAAACTTGGCATGTATGTGAATGTAACAGTAGTTAGAATTTAGTAATAGGAAAATTAAAATTTTGTGTTTTTCAGCAATATCATTCTTGTTGCTACAATAAATAACAGTTTCTTATAGAATTACATGGAATCTCTCTGGTTCTCATACCCTAACTCTGAGAGTTAATGGACCTGTGGTTGTCATTTCTCTTTATAAGCACTCAAAATAATCCACTCCACATCACAGTCCTTCTCCTTACCGTTACAAACACAGCAGTCAAGTGTAGCTGCCTCTTAGGCCCCCAAGGCCTGTGCTTCAATTGACACTTCATCAAGATCAACCGATTGCTTGATTAACTGAGATGCCCTGCATGCTATGCATTACTAGCAATTATAACAGGCTCCCTGAACAAATTTCAATGACTTCTATATGTATTTTATAATCTCCCTTAACTAACCACTTGACTTTTGAGTTATTTTCCAGAAATGGTGGATTTTCGCAATACAAAGGAGCTGAGATTCCGAAGGCCCCTGGGCAGACTTCCTGAGCCAAGGCAGCCATCCCCCTTGACCTGCCTCAAGGCACATGGACCATTCTTAAAAAGTCCCTGATCTCCATTAGTCAGAGAGACCCTTCTCCTGTTCTCCTAACAAGAACTCTTTTGAATTAAAACATTCCTTTCTTCCTTGGCAATTCTCATATTGTCTCAATAATTGGAGCTTTCTGCCAGGAGCAACTGCACCTAGGCTGAAACCCCCTTGAAGTTTCCATAACATTCCATAGCATTCCATTTCCCTTTGGCAAGGCGCTCACGCACAAAGCATCAATCAAACCAAATTCCAAATCTCATCTATTTCTTGTGACTACTCCTGGGACAGGGAAGCCTTAATAAGAAGAACTGTTAATTATAGTGGGGATTAGAATAATGAGGGATTCACTAGCCAGAAGAGAACTCTAGAGGATATAGAAATAGAAGCTATATGAACTAACCTTATAACTAACTCTTGGGCTGAGAGAGAGAGTGCCCAACTAAGAACCTCCCCAGTCCCTCCCGGGGCTGAGATTTAGGCCTTTTCGGAGAGCGCATAGTCTGGCTTACTGAATGGCAGACAAGTCACTGTGGTGCTAGGTCTGCAAAACTTGTTGAAAATCTGCCCTCTGCAACTTGCTGCAATTGTCTCTAGGGTGCCAGACAAGCTATTCAGAGGGTAGTGTTTCACTTCTGCTACAAAATTCCTAGAGTCCCGGGTGTGAAAGGAAACCAGGGAGCTATGGAGCACTGTAGGAACTCAGCACCAGAGAGAGCCAGGTACGCTGCTGCAAGAACCTGATATACCAAAACCGGGACGCAGAACCCTTTTCTCCCTGTAATGTCTCTTCAGTGCCCTCTACTGACAAAGCTTCAGTCCCAGAAGGCAAAGGAAAGCCTGTTTAAAAGGCCCAGATCCACTTTCACCGTGCAGTCAAAAAGGGTGAATTGGGAGCCGAGACGCAGTAACCCAATAACCGGCACACGCGTCGCTTCTAGGATTTTGTAGCCAGACGTCTACGTCTGCCTGGGGGAGGGGGGGCCCCCTTCGGCAGGCTCCTTGCCCCCAGGATTCAACAGGATGCCACCAAAGGCAACGGAGGAAAGGATGAGCCCGAGCAGAACGCGCAGCCCTCTTCCTTTTCCTGCAGCCCTTCACCGAGAACCCTTCCACAACGCGCGGGGCCGGGCGTCGCAGGACAGGAAACCAGGGCGACGGAGGGGAAGCGGGGAGTTGGCGCAGCCCCCGTGGAACGTGGGCCGCCGCCCGAACGCCCGAGAAGGCCTCCACTCACGCGAAGCTGCCTCCCAGGTCACAAAAAGCGTTCCGAGGTCTCCCCATCGCCCGGGCGCCGGGAGACGGGCGCGGGGCGGGCCCAGCGGGCGGCGCGCTCTGATTGGGCGCCGGGGGGCCCGCCCCCTCATCCCGGCGCGTCGGGAGGGGCGGGGCCGGCCGCGCGCTCGGCTCCGGGGCTGCGGGCGCCTATTGACCCAGCGGCCGCCGAGCCGCCGCCGTCCTCCGCTCGTGGCGGGCTGTGCTGGGGAGCCTAGTGGCGCTGGGGAACCGGCGCTTCCTCTCGCCGCCGCCGCCATCTCCGTGTGTGCGGGGCGGGAAGGAGGGAGAGGGCTCGCGGCTGCAGCTGGAGCGGGCTTCTCTCCGGGGACGGTCCTCTCCTCCTGGCTCTCCTTCTCCTCCTCCCGCGCTGCTGCCGCCCGCCCCCTGCGCCCTCCCCGCGCAGCCCGGGTCCGGGAGGGGGACGGTCGGGGCGGCGGGGGGCAGGAGAGGCCGGCGGGCGGACGCGCGCTCTGGGGAAACTCTCCTGCCCGTTCCGCGCGCCCCGGAGCCCTGGGCGCACCCCGGCCCGGCCGCGGCAGCGGCGCCGGCGGCGGCAGGAAGGGGCTCCGTCCGGGGCGGTGGGGGCGGTGCCGCGGGGGCGGGCCCGGCCGTCCTGGCTCCAAGTTGTGGGTCCAGGCTCCTCCCGACTCTGTTCCTTCCCCCTTGGCTCCTCGGACCTAGCTGCGCGGCTCGGGCCCGGGAGCTGCGGAACCCGCGCCGCCTCTGGGTGAGGACACGCCTGCCCTCGTCGAGAAAACTTTTCCTGCCTACTCAGTCGGGGCGGTGGTGGCAGGAAGTCCGGGCAGCGACCTGTCCCCCGCCCGCCCCGCGCGCCCTGCCGGGCGTTGGCGCTGAGCTTGCGATCAAGTTTGTGGGGGCCCCGTGCCGGCCGCCGGCGAGTCTCTCCTCGAGGGCCTGGCCCCGGGGAGGGTGGCGGGCCAGGGCGAAGGCCAAGGGCGCATGGTGGCGCCGGAGGCGAGGTGAGCGTCGCGGCCCGGACCCGCACCCGAGCGCGCGGAGGGCGCGCAGCCCAGGAGAAGGGAGCCCCCGGCGGCCGCTTCCTAGAGCCCACAGCCCGCTGCCTCCTCCGGGTGAGGACAGTGTCCAGGCCCCGAGTCTATCGAGGAAAATGAAGTTAAGCCGCCAGTTCACCGTGTTCGGCAGTGCGATCTTCTGCGTGGTGATTTTCTCCCTCTACCTGATGCTGGACCGCGGTCACTTAGACTACCCCAGAAGCCCGCGCCGCGAGGGCTCCTTTCCCCAGGTAAGCGCCTGGGAGCCGGGGCGCGGGGCTCCGAGGGGCCAGGCGTCGGGGGCCTGTAGTTACCTGCTGCTCCGCGCCGGGGCAGGGCGAGGCCGAACCGTAGGAGGGTCCCAGAGTCCTTCAGCTGGGGGCTCTGTAGCTTTCGGACGGCGGTGACCGCGACCTGGGAGCCACCTTCCCCGGGCGAGCCCAGTTAACAAAGTGCTGGCCGGCGTGCGGTAGCGGAATCGCGCTCGGGGGAAGTGGCCCGGTTCCCGCACTCGCACCCGGCCTGTTGGGGTGGCCTCGGGCACCTGCTGGGCAGGAGCCGGCGCGGCGTGGGGCGCCCCCTCGCCAGCGCGGCACCGGAGTGTTGCTGCGTGCGGCCCCCCGGCTCGCACAGGGTTAAGCTGCCAGCCCAGACCCCCTGCGCGCACCGAGTCGCGGAAATGCATCCAACACACCGCACCTAGGCTTCCCCCCTCCTCCCCACTGTCTCTTAGGAGGGAAAAGTTTATTGTGGCCCATTTACGCGTAGATCTGTAGGTGGGTTCGGTGTCATCCTTCAGCTGCAGCATTTGGATAGTTCGCAGGCTACATTTGGTTAGTTAGCAGACGTGGGGAGCGGAGTGGGCAGCGCGTGCTATACTGCGGCCGGAAGCTGTGGGGCGCTCAGTCCCGCGCCCGGCAGATAAATTGGCAAATCAGTCGGGAAAACGACCCGTCTAAAGTCTTTTATTCAAAGTTACTAAAAATGAGAGAAACGGCCACAATCTGTACTGTTTGCAAGGGTACCGCGCGGCGCGTGCGAGCTGGTTTCAGGTTACTTGCCAGTGACTGTACTTGTCGGAAATTTTGGTAAAACTGGCTGGGTATTGTGTAGTGTCATCTGTAACGAATGAGCCTGAAGAACTGAAACCCCGACTTGCTAATCTAACAACTACTACTTAGGGGTAGGGAAACCTAGGACGTGAACAAAGTGATATTTTAATTTTTTTGTGTGTGACCATTTAAATGACCAATGAATATCCTTGCCATTTCTTCTGATATGCTAGGGCCAATGGCTTGGATTTAATTGAAATCGAAGTACAAACTTTACTTGAATTATTATGGAAGTGAAAAAAGACCACTTATCCAAGGGGTGAATACAGAGCAGTCAGAATGTTTTTGCAGGTGAGAGGCATAAAAAATCTTGCTGCAGATAGATGTATCAAATTTTTAACAGCTTCTGTTTCCCCCTGGTAGTGTGAGAGAGAAAATAGGAAACAAGCATTACGGGCATCTTTAAATCTTGATCTTAGAGTTTGTTCAGTGCTTGTTGATGAAGTTGGGGAAAAAGGTAAAACTCTGAAGCCAGAGCAAAAGGAGTTTTCTAAGCTTAGTTTGATATGGTTTATAATTTTGGGATTAAAATTACTGTGATTTCTTTCTCTCCAATAACCCCATTTTCAGAATTTCCTCCCTTACAGGAAAAGTCATAAAAACTGATATATATGACTTTAAGTGTTATCTTAAATAATAATGTCCTTTGGCTTGATGATCACTTGAAAATGATTTATGCAAACATCTGGGCTGGAATTTTCTGGCAACCTTGACATTTTACTCTATGAAGAAGTGAGTGACTCATTCAGTTACTGGGAAATCCTAGGCAAAGTTAATTCTGATGTTTTAAGATCCATCTCTAGTCCTTAATGCGGGGCTGAAGTTCTGCTTAAGGTGTAAAGTATCTGGTGGAAGGTGACAGTGGCTGCTGGAAAAGGCCCTGTTTGTGGGTGGTGTTCGGTGTGCAAGGGGGTGGGTGTGCAACGTGGAGCTTCATTGTGCTTAATGTTGTCTTTGTCAGATTTTCTGTACTGGGTTTTCACTGCAGGAAAAAGGTATTCTTTGCTGTTTTAGTGCTTGGGGGGGCACTGACTCCTCGACACAAATAGACATTATAAACTCTCTGTAAGCTTAACTCATGTGTGACATGACCCTTTGTGTCTTACGTGATGAGCTTGATTCCCACAGCCACCACCCAGTAGGTGAGGAAACTAAGGCATGAGAGATAAATTTGTCCAAGGTCACACAGCTAAAAGCTGAGATTTGAACAGGCAGCCTTTGAAGTCTGTGCTTCTTGCCTCTTGGGAATCTGTTGCTTACTGTTGAGACTGGGGCTTGCTTGGGGAAAGACCTGGTGTAGAATGTAAAAAGCATGTTGCTCTGTGGCACCTGAGCTTGTGATTTTTTTTTTTAAAGGAACTTTTATTATGAAGCCATAATGAACGCAGGTGGTCCTTTTCCTGAAACATTTAGTATTTGAGATTTACACCTTTGCAGAATGTCTTCTATCTCACTTCAAAGCTAAATATTATAATGAAGACTATTATGTAGCATAGCATCCAGCACTTGATTCGTTTTTTTGGTTTTTTTTTTTTTTTTTAGAGACAGGGTCTTACTCTGTTGTCTAGGCTGCAGTGCAGTGATAGGATCATAGCTTGCTTACTGCAATCTTTAACTCCTGGGCTCAAGTGATCCTCCCACTTCAGCCTCCTGAGTAGCTACGTCCACAGTTGTCTGCCACCATACCTGACTAAGTTTTAAATTTTTTTGGTAGAGGCTGGTCTCAAACCTATGACCTTAAGTGATCCTCCCGCCTCGGCCTCCCAAAGTGCAGGGATTACAGGCGTGAGCCACTGTGCCCGGCTGAGTTGCTGCTTTTATTTTTTTCACTACTTCTAACCCTATGTTAACCTTAATTTGATGACAACACCAAACATAGCAAATGGAGGCTTTAATATATTATATTTCTTTGGCCAGTTTGGGTACTAAATTCTTGAGTTTTAATAGAGCCAAACTAGTTCTTCACTCTATGTCTTTTTTTTGGTGTCTAGTAGAATGATTTATCTAGAAAGGTATCGAGTTCCTCTAAATTGTCCATTTTAGTTTGTTGATATGGAACCTTCACTAAGATATAAGGTCCGTCTTGTAAGCAAGATATCAAAACCATTGTAGATTGAGAACAATCTATTTGTTGTTTTGGGGGCCTTTGTTCTTTTTCTCTCCTCCCACAACTGTGTGATTTCTACCACTTGGCTGGACTCTGGGGCAGGAGTGGGCCTGCTCTGGAAGCTCCATCTGGAACAGCTGCATGCCTCTGAGATAATCTTTGGAGGGCTTTCTCTCTGTGCTTCCAGGAAGAATTACTTTGAGGGCTGGAGGCAACAGGTGGCCTAGTCTGTTTTAGCTTGTGTGTATATTTCAGGGTTAATAAATCTCAGCTAAAAAAAAATTAGTAAAAATTCCACACTGAATGAGAGGCTGGCCAGGGCCTAATGCCCTGAAAATACTTCATGATAACTTGTGTGAATTTGAGCAGATGGAAAGGAGAAACATTCTTAAGGTTTCCCTGACATTCATCATCACTTCTTACAAGCAGATTTTACAAGTGGCTTCCTATCTATGGTGTGTGTGATAGGATGTCTTATGTTTGGATCTGGAGAATTAATGAGTCAAGTTTTGAATAACAAATTATCAATCTTTAAATAACTAGTATAACATATGACCACAGGGATTAATATTAACACTTGAAATTGAGACCGTTGGAAAATGTAAAAGCAAAGTTCAGATTTTATCTTTGTACCTACATAACATTTATCATGTGAGAAAGTGAGAAGAATGTCTTTAAATAAGTTTGATTGAAAGCCATTGGAAGGTTGGAATTTTATGCCCTTTTTTTTTTTAGCTTTTATTGTGAAACTATAATACACATACAGAAATGTACTTAAATGCTTTACATCATTAGTACTTTTAATTTAAGAGTACTGCACAGAGGTGTTAATAAAAGTTGACCCATGGTAATAAGTATAACTAGGACCTTGAGCTCCCAATTTTTTTTTTTTTGACCCAGTTTTACTTCTGATAAACCAGCTGGGCCAGATACTCATGATTGCATGTGGTCTAAAGGTTTTCATTTACTTCGATTGTGGTGTTCCCAGCTGAACATTGTTATCAGGGCCCAAACAAATGGTTTCGTTAGGGAGGGAGTTGTCACAGTTGCATTTATTGGGAGGCAGTTCTCTCTGTTATGCATTAACTTGCATCAAGGGATCTCTGGCAAAATATTGACTAAATTGACCACTTTTGTTTGTTGTTTTTGTGTCAGCTGTTGCTTTTTGTAATAGTAGTTAAAACTTTGACTGTTTTTTTTAAAAGACTGAAGTCTTGAGATTTTCCTTGAAGTAGTTCAGTAGCTGTTGCTGATCACCTGCTTTCTTCTCAGTTTTTTTTGTATTCAACAGTCTTTTTGTACACTTTTTTAATTTTTATTTTTTTAAGAGACAGAGTCTAGTTCTGTCGCCCAAGCTGGAGAGCAGTGGCATGATCATAGCTCACTGTAACCTTGAACTCCTGGGCTCACATTCAGCATTCTTAGTTTTCCCTTGTTCCCCAGTTTCTATAGGGTAATCTTTAAGAAACTGAGGGGATGTTCAACAACTCTGATAATCTGCGGTTGCTGGATTATTGCATTTTTGGCCCCTTCTGTCATGGTGGTCAGGTTCCTGATAGCGGCCTTTTAAAAAGTTCAGGTAGACTAAGGAGAGGGGGAGGAACTCTAAAGGAGTGAATTTGACTTGTTTTCATAGTTGTTGGTGGGTTGATCATGAGAGGAAGTCGAACATTTTAGCTGAAATGGGTTTCTGTTTCAGTTTTCAAGCCAAGCTGCTAATTTTAAGGTTGAAACTATGTTTAAGTTGAAACAGGTTTGAAGATTAATTGTACTGAAATGGAGCTCACACCTAGTGCTGTAGAGAGTATTGCTAAGTTTGCTTTGTATTAGGGAGGAGGCAAATTATTTGATTTGAGGAACTCTGTCTCTTTAGGTGATAGCATAGCTTTTCTAAAACAGAGTATATTTAAGGTTATTTATTATTTGTACTTTTATGAAGACAAGTGCATAGTAGGTGTCTAGCAAATATTTTAATGTTAAATTTCTAAATCTAACATACTGTTTTCTAAAGAAAAAATAAACCTTAAAGCAC